TGGATAGATAGATAGATAGATGAATGAATATGGTCAGAATGGGATAGATAGATAGATAGATGGATAGATAGATGGATAGATAGATAGATAGATAGATGAATATGGTCAGAATGAGATAGATAGATTGATGGATGGATAGATAGATATGGTCAGAATGAGATAGATAGATAGATAGATAGATAGATGAATGATGGATAGATAGATAGATAGATGTGAACAGACTGAGATATGGTCAGAATGGATAATGATAGATAGATAGATAGATGGATAGATAGATAGATGGATGGATGGATGATATGATGTGGTCAGAATGACAGATGGATAGATAGATGGATGAATAGATAGATAGATAGATGGATATGATAGATAGATGGATATGGTCAGAATGAGATAGATGAATTGATAGATGGATAGATGGATATGGTCATGAATGATAGATAGATGGATGATGGATAGATTATAGATAGATGAGATATGGTCAGAATGAGATAGATAGATAGATAGATATAGATAGATAGATAGATAGATAGATGATAGATATGGTCAGAATGAGATAGATAGGATAGATAGATAGATGAATAGATAGGATAGATAGATAGATAGATGATATGGTCAGAATGAGATAGATAGATAGATAGATGGATAGATAGATGGATGACAGATAGATAGAGATAGATATGAACAGACTGATATGGTCAGAATGAGATAGATAGATGGATAGATAGATAGATGGTCAGATGGGATGGATGGATAGATAGATGGATGGATAGATATTGAGATGGATGGATGGATAGATAGAATGGGATGGATGGATAGATGGATGGATGGATGGAGATAGATGGATAGATAGATGGATGGATAGATACGATAGATAGATAGATGTGATAGATAGATGGATGGATGGATGGATGGATAGATGGATGGGATGGATGGATGGATGGATAGATGGATATGGTCGGAATGGGATGGATGGATGGATGGATGGATGGATGGATGGATGTGGTGGATGAATAGATATGGTCTGATGGGATAGATGGATTGATGGATGGATGGATGGATGGATGGATGATGGATGTGGTCAGAATGAGATAGATGGATGGATGGATGGATAGATGGATGGATGATAGATAGATGGATAGATAGATGATATGGTCAGAATGGGATGGATAGATGGATAGATGAATGGATGGATAGATGGATGAGATAGATATGAACAGACTGAGATATGGTCAGAATGTGATAATGGATGAATAGATGGATAGATGGATGATAGATAGATATATGGTCAGAATGGGATGGATGAATGGATATGGTCAGAATGGGATAGATAGATAGATAGATGGATGGATAGATATGAACAGACTGAGATATGGTCAGAATGGGGATAGATAGGATAGATGGATGGATAGGATAGATAGATGGATAGATAGATAGATAGATAGATGGGAATGGATAGATAGATGGATATGATAGATAGATAGATGGATGGATAGATGGATGGATGAATAGATATGGAGATAAGATAGATAGATAGATGGATAGATGGATAGATGATGGATAGATGGATAGATATATGGTCAGAATGAGATAGATAGTTTTGCTACTATTTGTCACAGTATTTCTTTTCCTCTTTATAATTCCTTTGTTTTTTCCTTTGCTATTTTCCTTCCTTCTCTCGATATCATCATCTTGTCTTTACCTATTTATTTTGCTTTCATCAACCGACCATCTCCTCCCATCCGCCGACCCTCCTGCATCCACCTTTCACCCATTCTTCATCCACCTGCACCTCCTCCTTTCCCCAGATCGAACAAGCGAGGTCATTCAGTGCAAAATGTTGAAGTACCGCCTACAAGGCTAAAAGCATCGACTGAGCTACGTCGCTTCATACGTAAACACCTACACACATACATGCGTACACACATACACACACTCGCGTGCGCGAGCACATAGGCGGAATGCGCAGTATAGCATACACACGCGTACACACACACATATATATATACATATATATATATATATATATATATATATATATATATATATATACATACATACATATATATATATATATATATATATATATATATATATATATATATATATATATATATATAAGTACTCCATAAAATATATATCATTACACTCAGTGCACCACACGCAAGTACACTAGCATTCATAAACGTCAGCGCGTAAAGTACGTGAGGGTGGGGGAGTATTTTTATTCAGTAAAAAAGAAAAAAAAAGAATGAAATAAACTATTGTCCCTCTTTGCGAGCCGACAGGGATTTGTTAAACTGTAAACATCGCAGTAGAATAAAACTGATTCCGGAGAGTATTCTGATGAAGTGTTTGGGGGGGGGACTTTTTCTTTAATGAGCGAAAGAGTATAGCAGTATTTTGGTCTGACTTTTTATCAGAATTTTAATTTCCGAAATAACCATGTTTTCTTCTACAATTTCTTTCTGTTTCGTCTTTTGACAAAACAAACTTCAATAGTTTTCATTCGCATCAAAATAGGACTATTTTCACTTTCACTTTCGACATTTAACAAACAAATGGTATTTTCACTCTAGACAAGCGGAATAGGTCATTTTTAAATTACTATTTCGGTTTTCATCAAATAAATATCAATATTTTCATTCACAACACGACACGGTATGACTGTTTTCACTTTCACTTTCGGCTTTCATAAAACATCAATATTTTCCTTCACGACAAACAAAATGGAACTAATTTTACTTTCACTTTTGAAATTTATTAGCATCAGTATTTTTATTAGCGACAAGCAGAATAGGCAATTTTTAAATTACTTTTTCGGTTCTCATCAAATAAATATCATTATTTTCATTAACGACACAACATTATATGACTATTTTCACTTTCTCTTTCGGCTTTCATAAAATATCAATATTTTCATCCACGACACGGTGTCTCAGGATTGTTTTCAATTTCTCTTTCAGCTTTCATCAACTATCAATATCATCATTTATGAGACAGCATGGTAGGACAATTTTCACTTTCTCTTTTGGCTTTCATCAGCTACCAGTATTTTCATTCACGACACAGCATGGTAAGACTACTTTCACTTTCTCTTTTGGCTTTCATAAAATATCAATATTTTCATTACGGCATGGTAGGACTATTCTCACTTTCTCTTTCGGATTTCATCAACTATCAGTATTTTCATTCACGACACGATGTGGTAGGACTATTTTCAGTTCCTCTTTCGGATTTCATCAACTATTAGTATTTTCATTCGAGACACGGCATTGTAGGACTATTCTCGCTTTCTCTTTCGCCTTTCATAAAACATCAATATTTTCATTAACGACACAGTAGGGTAGGACTATTTTCACTTTCTTCTTCACCTTTCGTCCACTATCAGTATTTTCATTCACGACACGGCACCATAAAATATAAACATTTTCATTAACGACAACGGTGTGGTATGACTATTTTCACTTTCACTTTCGGCTTTCGTCAAATGTCAGTGTTTTCGTTCACGACAAGCTATGTTAGGTCATTTCAACTTTCGCTTTTGGTTTTCAATAAACAAACATTTGTTTTTGTATTTATGGTAAACAAACTTTTGATGTATTTTGTCTCTGTTTTTTTGTCTTTTCCCAAACCGATATTTATTTTTATTCAGGTTCTAGTATGCGTGTTGTGTTATGGAATTCTCATGAACAAGAGAGTAAGAATTAATATACAGACAATTACGTACAATTAACAATAACATATTTTATTTCTTTAGCTAAAAAATAGGAAATATACGAAAGGGCTAAATGTTGGTATGTATAAATGTTATTTCTTTTACAAACGTGTGTGTAAAGTTGCTATAAACGATTATGAGAGACATTTATCAAGTGTTCTTGGCAAACTTGTACCCTCGTGCCAGAAAAAAAAAACTGAATGTCAAACGGACGATTTTTCCCTTGACACCGCTAATATTTTAACTACCTCCACTCCTCTGTAATGTTTATTGTTTTAGGAGGCGATGATTAGAATTATAATAATGCCTAAGCACATAATGAAAGTAATTTTATACATTTTTTGTTCTTGACAATTTACAAAAACATATATTAAACACGATTTATTTATTGGATTGTTTATTTACAAGAATAAATTCATATTTACAACATTCTAAAAATAATACAATTAGAACTAATGTAATGCAATATTTATCCTTTACCAATTTATAAAGAAATAAATATGAAAGTGAATTTATACATTTTCTTTGTTCTTGAGAATTTACAACAAAAATAATAAACATTATTTATTTATTAGATTGTTTATAGGAATGTTTGGCAAGATTATCGGCTAATTGCCAATTGATTCGGACTTTATAAAATTGTAAATAATAAGGATTTCCTTATAGTTGGTTCACATATATTTAGTAATGTTTTATAAATTTATGAATAAAAAATTGTTTTCATATATTTACGAAAATGTATAGAAAGTGCTCAGATTTCTGGATTATCAACAATAAATTCATGTTCAGGTTCTTACAATATCTTACCTTTCTTAGGAAAATCTTCTGTTGTCACAATGTAAGATATTTACAAACAATAGCAATTTTTTTCTCTAAGTAGTGAAAAACTGGAGGAGATTGACTGAGTTGTTTGCCTGGATGTCTGGAGACATTGGATGACAGAAAAATTAAAAAATGTGTATGTAAATATAAATGTAAAAGTGAACACTGAAGTCAACACTCAGAGGCGACAGTGTTGACTTCATGCTCACTTTACATTTATATTCATATATATATATATATATATATATATATATATATATATATATATATATGTATATATATATATATATATATATAATTCCACACACACACACACATATATATATATATGAAGAAAAATATACAAAAAACAAACAAAAATCCTTATATACAATTATTCAAAATACTCAAATTTTAGGAATACGTTTTCACGGCGTCGCCCACGTGATGACAACGTGATCATGTTTTAAACGGGGCGCTGATCTTATAAAACTTTCACTTATCTGTTGGATAAGTCTTGTTCTTATGTCAATCGTCTTTGTCATGTTGAATTGATAATGTTAATTATATTTTATGAATATGTCCTGAAGATGGTTTATTAGACCGAAATGTCCGATGTTGACATATTAACATTATAACAGCATAATTGTATATAAGGATTTTTATTTTTTTTTCCGTATATTTTTCTTCATACTGTCGGATCTATATCCATATATTTGCTTGCATATATATATATATATATATATATATATATATATATATATATATATATATATATATCCATCGACCCATGTTCGATGAAGTTTTTAAGGAGAAACACATTATATAGAATTTGTAAACTTTGTCGTTCTCACAATGTTATAATATATAGAAATAAATATCATATTGTCTCATGCATATGCATATATATAGAGAGAAAATAGGGAGACAGACAGACAGACATTTTCTAACCCGACATTACTTCTTATTACTATAAATCAGTAGTTCTCAACCTTTTTCTACCCATAAATCACTTTTATTCTTAAATTTTGGGGTGGACCCCATAACCATTCGATGAAAAGAAGTTTATTTTATTGTTTTACTAGCAGATAAGTTTTATTATCGAAATAGTAAATGTTTTGAATGAAGTAAAACTAATTTAATGGAAATAGACTTGTATTTATCAACTAAATTCTACGGAACTTTTGTGCACACTAGTAAAATAACTCCTCATAAAACATTTTAAAATGGATCCTGTGATCCATACGCGCCCCAGTTGAGAACTTTTGTTATAAATATTATTTTTAGTGCGCACAGATATTTGAGTTGTAATCCATGTTTTTTTTTTAATTTCTTAAACAATGAAATCAATAACAGCCAACCTAAATTGATTAGGAATCCTACTAAAGAAAGACTGTACCTAAACCGGAATCGGACATGTATTTTCTTTTCCATCATGAGAACGGCTTCTACCAATTTTGCCTTTACCAATTTTGCCACGGCGTCTATAGAGGCAAATTTAAATTACATATTTATCTATTTAATAATGTTGGGTAATAAAAAATTCATTAAAATTACTTCTTTATCTTTATCGGAATACAACAGCTGATTGTCCAACTGTTGTATTCTGGTACACTTTCATGTCTTGTAGCCCGCCAATCGGCGTGTGTCTACTTAGATTTATATCTTGGTCGGCCTATGAACTTTTCAGCCGATCCCCGTATTAATTAATGGGGAATATAACATCATGACGAAATTTGCATGGCATCAGCGTTGCATCCTTTATTTTCTCTACGCTTTCTTTTCCCTTTTCTCTTTTCCCCTCCTCCTCCTCCTCAAACTTCTCCTCCTCCTCTTTCTTCTTCTTCCATCATCATCATCATCATCATCATCATCATCATCATCATCATCATCATCATCTTTATATCGTTCTTCTTGTTTTTCTTTTCCTTCTTCTCTATTCCTTTTTTCATCATTCGTCCTTGATATGACGATAAGCTACTTCCGGTAGCAAGCCCTCTGGTCAGGAGACTGGAGTTTTTGAGGAGCGTGGAACCACCTGTTAATTGTTGTCGCTCCCAGCTCCACCCTGACCCGGGGGGGTAGCAACTGTTAGGGCCTCAGCTATTGGGTAAATAGTGAAACTTCAAACTTACATTTTTATAATAAAATGACTAACAAGACATTTTATAGCAAAATGACAATCAATGCAACACTAAACAAATAGTAAAATTATAGTAAAATTACCAACAATACACTTTATGATCTACAAGCTATATAGAACTTTTTACCTTCAAAGTATAAATTTATGTACAAAATATTTGTCGCTCAAGCCATGAAATTGTGTCCAAAACATTTAGATTTCGACATGAAATAACCCATAGAGGTGTTGATATGCCGCTAAACAAAATCAACCAATCAAATTCTTCATCATGTCTATTCTTTTCTTCTGTGTTGCTTTCTTCTTCTTCTTCTTCTTCTTCTTCTTCTTCTTCTTCTTCTTTCTTTCTTTCTTTCTTTCTTTCTTTCTTCTTGTCTGAGTTCACTTTTCTCTTTTTTCATTTCTGTCTTCTTTTCTCCCCTCTTATCTCATATTTCTTCTTCGTTTTATTTCTATCCCTTTCGTTTAGTCTTTCTTTCTTTCTTTCTTTCTTTCTTTCTTTCTTTCTTTTCTCTATCCTGTCCTTCGCTCTTTCTTTTTTCTTTTATTGTAGTTTTTCTTGCTTCTTCCTGTTGCTACCCTAAACTTTCTTCTTCGTCCTTTTCTTCTTTTCCCTTTTCTTCTTCTTCTTTCTTTCTTTTTGTTCTTTCTTCTGGTTTTAATTCACTTTTCTCTCTTTTTTTTATTTCTTCTTTTCTCTCTTCTTCTCTCATCTCTCTTCGTTTTTTTTTTCTTTTTTCCCTTTTCTTTCTTTCTCTTCTTTATTTTGTTCTTCTCTCTTTCTTTTCTCCGTTTATCCCAGTTTTTCTCTCTTCCATCTGTTCTTCCCCTAAACTTTCTTCTTCTTCTTCTTCTTCTTCTTCTTCTTCTTCTTCTTCTTCTTCTTTTCTTTCTCACTCTCACTCTCTCTCTCTATTCCTAATGATTTGCACATTCTCTTCCGTTACCTTATTTCTTCCACTTCCCATTTTCTCTCTTTCTACTTCTTTTTTTTTACTCTATCTTCCTCGCTTGTTTCTTTCTTTTTTTGTCATCTCCTATTCTCATTTCTTGCCTTGCCTTTTTTTGCTCCTTTTATCAAAACAAAGAACAAATATACCAACTCAAGTTCAAGAATTTATTTTTTAATACTTCTCTTTCTTCAACTCGTATGTTTTTCGTTAAGAGTAAAGATAAAAATAAAAAATAAAAACGGGGTGGGGTACAAAAACCCACCCAACGATGGCACCTCGTAGACAAGTGGCACATTAACAACCTGTGGCGAACTTCTTGGGCACAGCCGAAGAACCTCGAAGTAAAAGTCGCGATTTAAGAGACAACTTTTAGTGTCAACATGGGAAGATTTATGGCAAAGTTGCCTTTTAGAGCCATGAATGTCTTTGGAAATGGTGACACCTTTAAGTGCGCAGCCTGGGTACAGGAGTTTATATAAGAAAGAGGTTTGGGTGAATGTAATGTTGAGAGAGAAGAAAAACACAAGGACCAGGATTGGATTTAACGATAAAAGATAATCAGGGGTTAAGTGAGAGAATTATGATTGTAATTAGCGTAGTTATCAGATAAATGTTTAAATATCTGTCTATATTTGTAAGATGAGATATTGCAATTATTTACATTGTTCGGACTGTTGTCCTCATCCTCATTGCCATATACACGACGTTTCATCCATTGTACGCTCCGGCCTTCTTCGAGATCTTTCTAAATATCTTAGATGAGGTATTGTAATTATTTACATTGCTTGGACTGTTGACTTCATCTTTATTGCCATACTCACGGCGTTTCATCCGTTGTACGCCCAGGCCTTCTTCAGGAATTTCCTATATTTCTGAGATGATTTATTGTAATTATTTACATTGTTCGGACTGTTGTCCTCATTCTTATTGCAATATTCGCGATGTTTCGGTCGTTGTACGCTCCGGCCTTCTTCGGGATCTTTCTGTCTTTCTGAGATGAGATATTGTAACTATTTACATTATTTACATTGTTCTGACTGTTATCCTCATCCTCATTGTCATATTCACGACGTTTCATCCGGTGTATGTCCGGCCTTCTTCTGCAACTTTCTATTTTTCTGAGATGAGTTATTGTAATTATTTACTTTGTTCGGACTGTTGTACTCACCTTTATTGCAATATTCACGAAATTTCGGCTTTTGTACGCTCCGGCCTTCTTCGGAATCTTTCTATATTTCTGAAATGAGTTATTGTAATTATTTACATTGTTCGGACTATTGTACTCATCTTTATTGCAATATTCCCGACGTTTCGATCGTTGTACGCTCCGGCCTTCTTCGGAATCTTTCTATATTTCTGAGATGAGTTATTATAATTATTTACATTGTTCGGACTGTTGTACTCATCTTTATTGCAATATTCACGACGTTTCGATCGTTGTACGCTCCGGCCTTCTTCGGAATCTTTCTATATTTCTGAGATGAGATATTGTAATTATTTACACTATTTACATTGTTCGGACTGTTGTCCTCATCCTCATTGTCATATTCACGACGTTTCGGTTTTTGTACGCTCCGGCCTTCTTCGGTTAAGAAGTTTTTTTTTGTCTTGGAGTTCTTGAAAAGATGTCATATTGACAAAGTGAATGTCTAATTGTATCCGTACTCACTTTTTCTCCATTGACTTCTAGTCCTCCCTGAAGTTCTTTAAGCGTAACTCGGGGCTCGTTGCCAACTCTTCTCGACAATAACCTTGCCATACGTTCCGTTTCCTTTCTAGAACGACCAGAGCTTTTTGGGGACGAATGGAGTGACACGTCTTCCAGTAACGAATTATCGCGCCAACTGAACTCAATAACACATTTAACTGACTAGATATCTTCCTATAACCAAGTCCATTTGTATGAAGGTTAACAATACATTTACAGAGGTCTTGATCAAATATTTTGCTTTTCCCCATTTTGTCAAAACTTAAAGGACGATTTACAGAAAAAGAACGACGCAATACTTTTAATCATTCTTAAAAGTAATCATAATATTAATGTGGAACTTTCTAAAATCAACCCTTAATTTGGAACATTCTTGACAAATTTGAACACTTTTATAAAAAAAAAAAGCTGTTGTAATTAAAAAAAATGTGTTGTAAACTTTTGAGTTACTAGATATCAGTTTTTCTTTGTGGGATACATTTTTTTTTTGAAATTTTAAAAAAGATCTGATTGTTTGACTGAATACCTAGATATACAGCGCTGTTCGATAAAGTGACTCACCTTATCCTTTGAATTTAGCTCAACTTTCGTTTCATCGGAGAAGAGAACATTCTTCCAGTCTTCTACAGTGAAATTTTTGTAATAGTGAGCCCAAGTCTCTTGACTTTGTTGGCTTTGCTTATTAGTGGCTTAAACCTTTGTGTACAAGATTTGTAGCCTTGTTCTGATGGACTGTTGAAGAGGCAAGACTAACACTTCGCTTAGACTGGCTGCAATTTCTTGGCTAGTTACAGTCCTATTCTTCGCAACTTTTCTCTTGATTACCCTGTCAGTTCCATCATCAATCTTTTTCTTTCATCCCCTTGTTTCCTTCCTTGGAGCAGGAGTGGCATCATTATGTGCCCTAAGCACTCGAGAGACAGTTGATTGCGAAGTTATAGTAATTTCTGCAATTTCTCTCATAGACTTCTCTGCTTTTGAGAGGGCAATAATAGATGCCTTAAGTGGTTCTGATGCGTGTTTGTACCCTTACATCTGGTTAGTGACTTGAGTGGCTATTTCAAGCTGTTTTTATACTATATGAAGCTTTCTGGAATATTCTGGAATACTCTAGATTTAATTTAAGCTGTTCTAGAATTCTCTAGAATATTGTTCTGAGTGTATTGTAAAATAGTTTTCAATATTTTGTCAAAAGTTCTTTAAATTTACCAGTTTAATCATAAGAATGCGATATCTGAGTTACTATTTTTATGAGTTTTTTCCTGAATCGCATTTATATCCAAATTTATAATTATCAATCGAATACCTTAGGGTGAATAAACTTTTTTCCTAGGTGATTGGGAAGGGGTTTTTATATTAGTAAGATTAAAAATTATTTTAACCCCAAAAACAATAGACAAAAAATATTTTTAGTAAAAAAAATGACTGGTCTACGAGCAGTAAAAGTTTAATTAATTTAACTGTAATAGAAATACCTAAAACCATTTTTGCACGTGGTGTAAACAATGTCGTTGTACAATGTCGTTGTACTGTATATATATATATATATATATATATATATATATATATATATATATATCCTTCATCACCACCTCTGGTCCCGCCTAGGCAAACTTTCACGACAAGAATACGTCACGCCACTTACATAATAGCAAACAACTGACATTTCCACGAACCACTGTCATGTGGAGTCGTCTCCTAACAGGATTTCTCCCCGATCACTATAATCTTAAGCTATTCATGCCTAGAGGAAATCGTTTTCTCCCTCACCTATACACACGCATGGCCTCTACCTAGTGTGGCTACCGAGTCTTGTAAAGAATGGCTCTCTCACTGTAATATATATATATATATATATATATATATATATATATATATATATATATATGTATGTATATATATACAAATCCCGTTTATTTTAAATATCAAATAGAGTTTTAAAAATGAAAAAAAGAAACAGTAATCCCTTTATAATATATGACTGCGCCAACATTGTGATAACTAGATATACTTTTTAAAATTTAAATTACCTAACGGCCAGTCTATACCCAGCACCTGAAGATTGCGTTGAGCATGAAACTCCGAGTCGTGCTATTATTGAGGGATAATATATATATATTAATCTATATATACTTAATAGATCTATTGTATTACATCGTGTATTGTTTTATTAACCCCAGTACCATTTGTGATATATATATATATATATATATAAACTATATATATATATATCGTTGTTTAAATATATATATATAAATATATATATAAAAGGCAGGATGTGTGTGTGTGTGTGTGTGTGTGTGTGTGTGTGTGTGTGTGTGTGTGTGTGTGTGTGTGTGTAACAAATGCACGGCCGCAATTTTCGACGGATTTCCACCAAAATTTACATGCACGTGATCCAAGTTAGCGGCAAGGCCAAGACCGACATTGCATTTCCCAACTCCCATCGATAGTGGAAATAATCGATTTTTTCATGCTTCTACGGCAGTTTTTTCATGTAGTTTTCGGCCACTTTCTACTGGCCAGAGTGAGAGCCTATAGCTGGCTGCCACGAATAGGCAGAAAGATTCTATTGCCAGCGTGAGAGGCAACAGCTGACTGACACGAATGTTAACTAGCATGCTAGCGTGCAAAAAAATCGATAGCTGCATTCGTCACAAGTGGGAAAAATTTAAATCTGCATGGCACTTTACTCCAATTGGCACATTTGCTTGCTTAAACTCAATGTTGATTCTGATTCCGCAGAACTGGGTTGGGTGTGAAAAAGTATTTGTTGTGAACATTCTTTTTTCATTCAGTTTTTCCAGTTACGAGTCCTTTTTTAAAGCTGATCGTTTTGTGTTCATTTTGTTTAGTTCTTTTTTCGTAACAGATTTAATGTTTAGTATAGAGCTGAGAAAAAATTCGCAGTGTGAGATAGGCAAGAATTAAGGCATGTAGCAACATCAGCACGGCAAAGGGGACTCCTTTAAAGGCAAGGAAGGGCAAAAATATTTTAAGTCAAGTGATAGTATAGTCGTACGATTTTTGAATCAAGCACGGGCAACGCCGGTCCATGCTACTAGTATATATATATATATATATATATATATATATATATATATATATATATATATATCGTTTTCTGAATGAGAAATGCCTCCCAAATTTATGGAAGATATCAGCAGTTTATGCTGTTTTCAAAAATGCCGATGAGCGCTTAACACACTACGATAAAGATCTATCACCCTCCTTTGTCAAACTCTTTGAATCAATGAGCAAACAACAGCCTCCTTAGCAAAAAACAAAAAATTTAGTCCTACTACACTTTTTCGCTGGTTTGATGAAATTTAATATTAAATTTTATCATATAATTTTATAATTATTGGTTAGTATAAATTATTTTTAATATTACACGTATTTTAAAGATCTGAATAGCTATTATAACATGATTTCGTTGTCAAGCTTTTGAATCTTTCTATACTTGGTTTTTAATTGGTTATTCTAGATTTGTAACAATATTTCCCCCTGATGTAGGATCGTTAATTAATCTGAAACTTTTAAAACCATTTATTTTATCTTCAACATCATCACTTGATAAGACACCGAGGGTGTTGAAACAAAATGGCTATTTTTGTAGTGATTTTATAACATACTTATGTTATAATTTTTTTATAAATAATAATTTTACATATATATATATATATATATATATATATATATATATATATATATTTGCAAATATCTACGTGCCTTTAAAAGGAGTTCTGTAATTTTGTGATTTGTAATTATTATCATCATAATTATTATATATATATATATATATATATATATATATATATATATATATACACGTGTTTGTTCTAGCAATTTTATGTGATTTGTTGTTATTATTATCATCACAATTATTATTATATATACTTACTCTGTGTGTGCACATGGAGTTTGTCTGACGATCGCTAAAGCGTGAAGCCCAGGGTCACAAACTCACATCTATCCAACCAAATATGTTAGCTCTATCTCTGATATTGAGCGCTTTCTAATAAGTACTGTTAAATAATATATAAATAATTATACATATATATATATTTATTTATATTTCTATACACTTTTCACATATATATATATATATATATATATATATATATATATATATATCTATATATATGTGTGTGTGTATGTGTGTGTGTGTGTATGTGTGTGTGTGTGTATATGTGTGTGTGTGTGTGTGTGTGTGTGTGTGTGTGTGTGTGTGTGTGTGTGTGTGTGTATTTCACACATTTCTATAGTAAATTCAGAAATTGCTTGTTTTAATTCAGAAATTGTTTCCATGGGTTGAGCCTCTAAACCAACAAGATGGTCGCTCAATTTCTCCACGTTTTCCTGTCCACCTCAGCTCGAAATTAAGATTTAACGCAAACAAACAAAACAGGGATGAATACCCATAACCATTAAAATTAGAATGTTACGGAATATATATATATATATATATATATATATATATATATATATATATATATATATATGTGTGTGTGTGTGTGTGTGTGTGTGTGTGTAATTACATTTGGTCTGATGATTGCTTTATCCATGAAACTAAGAGCTATTAAGCGCTTGGTTCCTGTATTCATACTTTATCTATATCGATATTAAATAAATCAAACATTCTTCAAGTGACTTATCTGACAGACCGACTCAAAAGTTTGGCGTTGAAACGTTCCTCAGGGCCAGGTGTTCAATAAAACGATTAATTCTTTGAATTACACAATATTATAGCTCCAGTTATTCATTGAGCATTTTCTGGCAGAAACTGGTCAATCCCTCATTATTATTATTACTATTATTATTATTATTATTAATATACATATTTTTCTTTCTCTCTCTCTCTGTCTCTCTCTCTGTCTCTCTCTCTCTCTCTCTTTCCCCCTTTCTCTTTCTCAATCTATCTATCTATATATATATATATATATATATATATATATATACAGTGGGGGGAAATAGATATTCGTACACATGAAAAATTGTATTTTTATAAATGCAAAAGCCTTAACTAAAACAAATTTTGATACATTTTATGTGTAAAGATACATTTTATTAAAAAATAGTAATAAACTTAATTAATTCTTATTCTAACAAAAATTAATGCATTTTTTCATTTTAACTGATGAAAAAAGTATTCATACAAAACAAAAAACAGCATATTAACTTAATTTAATACTTTGTGGAATATCCTTTATTGAGTTCGACAGCTACCAGTCTATTCCTGTACGTCTCAACTGATGATTTACACACATTGAGTGGTATTTTGTCCCATTCTTCTTAGCATATTGTTTTCAAATTCTTGATATTTGTTGGTGCTCTTTTCCCAATTTGAATTTTCAAATATCGCCATAAATTCTCGATTGAGTTCAAGTCTGGGGACTGACTTGGCCATTGCAAGACAACAACGTTACTTTCAGCTAACCATTTCCTTGTAGATCTAGCGGTATGCTTAGGATCATTATCCAGTTGGAAAACCCAATCAGGAGGTAGCCGAAGTCTCTCAACAGAACGCATTCATCTTGCCATCTATTATTGATATTCTGCGAACACCTTTTGCAGAAAAACAGCCCCAGATCATGATACTACCACCACCAAACTTTACAGTTGGCAACGTGTTCTTTGGTAAGTAGGCTTCACCGTCCTTCCTCCACACATGATCTCGATAATTATGACCAAACAACTCTATTTTAGTTTCATCTGTCCATAGTACTTTTTCCCAAAACGAATATTCTTTATCATTATGCTCTCTAACGAATTTTAGCCTAGCATCTCTGTGTCGTTTCAAGAGAAGTGGAGTCTTCCTTGGGATGCGTGACTTCAGACTGTTTTTGTGTAGTTCATTACTTATTGTACGCTTGGTTACTTTAATCCCTAATGCACAAAAAATGTTCCTGCAGCTCTTCTCGGGTAACCTGAGGATTTTGTTGGATCTGGCGTCCTAATTACCTTGCTGATCTTAGAGAAATCTTCCACGGAGCACCTGTTCGTCTTTGGTTTTCGACGCTGTTACGAGTTTTAAACCTTGCAATGAACGAAGCAATTGTAGTAAAAGGAATATTCAGGTTGTTAGAAATCGTTCTGTAACTGTTCCCATCTTTCCAAAGAGACAAAATGTGTTGTTTTTGTGAAATAGTGAATTCTTTACCTTTAGGCATTATTAGAACCTTCTCGTAAGACTAGAAATTGCAGAATGGTCTGATAATGGCTAATAGCGTTAACTATAATTACTGATAACATTACTGGAACATTCTAGAATATACATTTTTCATAATTAATTGATTACTTTATTCTAATAATTGATTTGTACGAATACTTTTTTCACCAGTTAGAATTTTAAAAATGCATTAATTTCTGTTAAAATAAGAATTAATTAAGTTTATTATTATTTTTAATAGTATGTGTCTTTATATATAAAATGTGCCGAGATTTGTTTTATTTAAGGCTTTCACATTTATAAAAATACAATTTATCAAGTGTACGAATATTTATTTACCCCCCACTGTATGTATATATATATATATATATACGCGCTTTTAAAGGAGTTAAGTTCTGGCAATTTTATGATTTGTTATTATTATCATCATAATTATTATTATGAAGAAATATAATCTTAAGATATGCTATATTTATGGGATAAAGTGCTCAATATCAGAGATAGAGCGTGTGTAAATATAAAAGTGAAGAAGTGTCTCTAAGTGTTGACTTCTATGTTCACTTTTATAATTATTATTATATATGTATGTTTCTTACCTATGTGTGTGTACACACACACACACACACATATATATATATATATATATATATATATATATATATGTATGTGTGTGTGTTGCTCTAGCAATTTTATGGGATTTTGTTATTATTATTATCAACATAATTATTATTATATATACTTACTCTGTGTGTGCATATATATATATATATATATATATATATATATATATATATATATATGCGTGTGTGTTGTTCTAACAATTTTATGTGATTTGTCATTATTAATATCATATTATTATTATATATGTGTGTAAGTACCAATGCATGTACACACACATATAAATGTATATATATGTGTGTGTGCCTGTGTGTGTGCTGATACTACCCATGCGCGCATTAACACAAAAGGATTGAACAAGAGAAGCTTCCGGTAGAAGATGTCATGTGTCACAGCGGTTGACAGAAACTCCGATGTTGACGGAAGTGTTGTTAGCTTAAACATGTGCCGAGTTGGCAGGCAAGAACAAAAAAAAATGGCGGCTCGTGTTATGCCAACGGAAATCAGTAATGACGTAATGCTCCTTCATAATGGCCGTCCAGAAGTTGAGAACTGTCATGAGGCTTTATTGAGTACGAAACTCAGAAGGCATCATGATTCAAGTTCCCACCACTAACACCACCACCATCACCACCACTCTTTTCAGACTCCGTTTCATCATCCACCTCTTCTTTTTGTGATTACACATTTGTTCTTCCATAGTTCTTCCTCATTTTCAGCTGCTATTAAAATTCCTGTATCTATCTCCATTTGTTCATTATCTATCTATCTATCTATCTATCTATCTATCTATCTATCTATCTATCTATCCCAATCTTTTCATACCTATATTTTGATCTACCTATATAATTCATGTCATATCTATCTATCTATATATATATATATATATATATATATATATATATATAGAGAGAGAGAGAGAGAGAGAGAGAGAGAGAGAGATAATTTTGTCATATCTATATTTTGATATATCTATACAATTCCTGTCACATCTATCTATCTATCTATCTATCTATCTATCTATGTTCACATATATTTCAATTTGTTTTTATCTATGTATCTACCCATCTCATTTTAGCTATATCTATGTAACTCTCTCAGTTCATAACTATTTAACCTATTCATATCTATCTATCTATCTATCTATCTATCTATCTATCTATCTGTTTTATTCTGTTCAGTACCTATCTATCTATCTATCTATCTATCTATCTATCTATCTTATTCTGTTCAGTATCTATCTATCTATCTATCTATCTATCTAACTCAGCCTATATCTATCTATCAAAGTCTGTTAATATCTATCTATCTATCTATCTATCTATCTATCTATCTATCTATCTATCTATCAGCTTTTTCAGGTCTACGTATCTCCTTATCTCTCTATTCATAACTGTCTTGATGAATTGATATCCATTTACGTACTCTGCTATCTATCTTTGCTCATTCATATCTATCTATCTATCTATCTATCTATCTATCTATCTATCTATCTATCTATCTATCTATCTATGTCTGTTAGTATCTATCTATCTTTTTTATCTTTTTATCTATCTACTTTTTCAGGTCTACGTATCTCCCTATCTCTCTATCTTTAGACTATTCATAACTATCTCAGTGAATTCATATCCATTTACGTCCTTCACTCTCTATCTCTACTTATTCATATCTATCTATCTATCTATCTATCTATCTATCTATCTATCTATCTATCTATCTATGGCTGTATTTATCTATCTATCTATCTATCTATCTATCTATCTATCTATCTATCTATCTATGACTGTCCTTTATCTATCTATCTATCTATCTATCTATCTTCCCTAGTCCCTCCAGTTCAAATCTTCACGGCTAGGACCCGCCATGCCACATACATAATAGAAAACCACCCATATTCCCTCCCTATTCCATCGGCGAGAAGTAAGCTCCACTCTAACAGCCTCTTCCTGCGGGCCACTACTCTGTTCAAGTCTTGGGTTAAATGTTACCTTCCCCTCCTATTCGTAGACACGGCCTCCTAACGTAAACCTATGAATTTAGCCGATCACAGTTTATTCTTTCTGTCTTTAATCATTATATATTAAGGACTGTCCCGTAAATTTTGTCTTATGAAGGTTTAACAGCCTAGTTTAGAAATGAACTGCTACACTAATGATTTAAGTGGTCATGGCTTATATAACACCAACGATACTTAACGGACGATCTGGTAACAAAACAATGGTGTTCAGCCACAAAACCTCCAAACAACTGTCTTCAGGTTTTATTGACATGAACTTTAAAAGCTCCGGAATAATACGGAAGCTTAATGACAGGGAACCATGAAGCTATCTGAAAAGACACGGATCAAATTTAGAGATTTCCCTCTTCAATACTGGTTGCCACTCAAGGTACGGGTGTTCAGTCGACCCTGTTATTTGACTGATAGATTGCGGAAGATGGATTCATGCTTTTACAAGGGCATTAGTTTGTCGGCTTCAGTCATTTTCCTACCGCCGGAACGAAAACTTTCCTATGCCTTTTCTGTAAATATTTTCATAGCAATTCTGATGAATATATATATATATATATATATATATATATATATATATATTATTATTATTTTTTTTTTTTTTTTTTTTCTTGATTTCTAGCGTTTACATTTCTTTCCGGATCCCGCCCAGGACCTAAGGTTAGAAATGGCATCATGACACTTTCCACTGACAAAAAAAAAAAAATTACATAGATAAAGCCCTTCGTAAAGTGTGGGCTGTACTTGTCAGAACAATTTTTTGTATCTCCTTGAGGCATGAACTTCCAGGAATCCCTTCAATTAATCTACTACAATCTTTTCCAACCAGTCCTAGGGCTCCAACTACAACAGGGATTGTTGATGTTTCCATATGCCACATTTTCGAGATTTCTAATTCAAGGTCCTTGTATTTTGACAACTTTTTGAATATCTTCAAAGATACATTGCAGTCAGCAGGGACTGCCATATCAATAAGGAGGCACCGTTTTTGTTTGTGGTCTTTAATAACAATTTATTATTATTATTATTATTATAGCTGGCCACTCGTATTCGAGAATACCTGTCTATTAGGGCGGTTAGCCAATCCCTGTTGAAGATGCTTGCTCAGGTGCATTTGTGTTTATTCAACACCCACAGAGCCCACCTGTGGTTTATACTGCAATTATGCTGAGCAGACCTTAGTTACAGTTTCTGGGAAAGAGCGTGTTATCTAGCGTGATCAACAATTTGAACAAGGCCAGAACGCTCAAGCCCTCGGCCATGATGTACTAGCACAGCTATCGACGGCCACAAGGTTTCTGCTTAGCCAATTTCACTCACAAGGCTTGCGTCAAATCGTAGTATGTTTTTCAGGCACTTTACGCATGCACCCGTCCAGATAATATTTGGTGACAAATCGCCCATGGTGAGATTCGAACCCGGATCTCAAGGTCAGAATGTAAACGTTCTAACCACTCGGCATTATATATATATATATATATATATATATATATATAAAGAAAGAAAGAAAAGAACAGTAAGATATATAATCCGGTGTTCTTATAGATATTTTATTTTTACAAAATAGTGCTCAATGTAAATTTATAGAGCCTTAATATTATAAATTAATTGATTTAAAATATGTTTTTTTACTACACAGTTCTAACCATGTTTCAAAATTCGCTTGAGGATGAAATGGAACTAATGTCTTTAATTTAATTACAAAATTAAATTCTAAGCTTTCAGCTTCCATTTTGAAACATGGTTAGAACTGTGGGAAAAAACAAATTTTAAATATTTTAAATATATTATATTTATAATATATATATATATATATATATATATATATATATATACATACATATATATATATATATTAGAGTCGTTGAGATCTGTAAGTTTTTAAATTAGCTGGCTCCAAGTAGACCCATGTATTTCTTGCCACCATCGCATATACCATATTGTGCTATTATTGTCTATGTAATGATCGGTGATATGACGTATGATCCTGGTCTTAGATTTACTGTTGAGAACGACAGGATTAGCGCACTCTCAATGAATATCCCTCTCAGTTTATTCTGATTTCTTCTGAACTGACTGGCACATTTTAAGTTAAAATTGTGCTCAGATGTATTATGCTGCGGTGTTCATAGAAATATTTTTCTTTTAGGTTTCTAAATGTTTCACCGATGTACATTAACAGGCATTTTGTACAGTCTATTTTGTATATTCCTGCCTCTGTCCTATTGTTATTGCTATCCCATTTATTATGCTGAACCATCAATGCGTTTAGGTTGTTGTTATGCCACATATCTCTGCGGTGTTCATTTTTTTCTTTTAGGTTTCTAGATGTTTCACCGATGTGCATTTTGTGCAGTCTATTTTGTATATTCCTGCCTCTGTTCTATTGTCATTTCTATGCCATTTAATGATAACTATATCTCATATTTTTTTAGAGATGGTGTTGATGAAATGTATGTCAAGGTTGCAAGTTTTTTTTTGTTTTGTTTTGTTTTTTGTTGGTGGTGGCTGTTATGGAGTTGGTAGGTAAAATCATGTGTTTAATTTTGTTATAGTTGTTAAGATTTTTATTATTTTTGCATTTTTGCATTTTTCTTCTGTGCATTTTATAGGCTTTGCATTTGGCATTGTGCAGGAAATAATTCGAGTTTTGGAGGAATTTGGATGTGTTTTCAATATATTTCTCTTCTTTGGGCCGGAAGTGGCTGCTAAAGATTCTAAGAGATCTTAGAGAAACCCAAATGATTATTATTATTTGTAAATTTTTGTATTTTTATTCAATAGATTTTGTAGGCGTTGCCTTTGTATATATGTATATATGTGTACAATTATACATAAAAAACAAAGGCTTTATATTGTGTACATGCGTATATATCTGTATATATGTATGCACATGAGGAGACATGTATGTGTATATGTATGTACAAATATATATAATCAAAGGCTCTAATATATGTGTGTCCCTGGGTGGGTGTGAATGTGTGTGCGCGTATATGTATGTATGTATGTATATGATAAAAAACACACTAGTTTAGGTGAAATGATTTCAAATCCAACAACACTAAACTGTTCTAATATAGACATGGACAAAGCAAAAAAACTGTCGAACACTCTCTTGAGTCCGGACATTGGAATGTGGTAAGTAATGTAATTTACTTGCATTTATAGTTCCCGCTTAACCTTAGAAATCTCAAGGCGATTTCCTTACATGCAGTTTTGTGTTTCTTTCATTCTAACCCGAGGAAACCAAAGAGGTCAACTGAGGGACAGAACTGGAGCTAAATCTATATTATATATCTAATCATATATGCATGTGCCCTTTGCACACACACACACACACACACACACACACACACATATATATATATATATATATATATATATATATATAATATATATATATATATGTGTGTGTGTGAAGAAATATAGTCTTAAGGTGTGCTATATTTATGGGATAAAGTGCTCAATATCAGAGATAGAGCATGTGTAAATATAAAAATGAACATAGAGGTCAACACTTAGAGGATGAAATGGAACTAATGTCTTTAATTTAATTACAAAATTAAATTCTAAGCTTTCAGCTTCCATTTTTGAAACATAGTTAGAATTGTGTAATGAAAAAACATATTTTAAATCAATTAATTTATTATATATATATATATATATATATATATATATATATATATTAGAGTCGTTGAGGTCTGTAAGTTTTTAAATTAGCCGACTCCAAGTAGACCCATGTAGTTTCATGCTAGATGCAACCGTCAGGCCTGACGATTGTATCTAGCATGAAACAGACTGTCGCCTCTAAGTGTTGACTTCTATGTTCACTTTAAATATATATATATATATATATATATATATATATATATATATATATATATATATATATATTCAATGGAACACTGTTGAAAGATAGGCTGATTCTATAAACAGTCACCTACGCTAATGCAAAGCTCTCCAGTAAAATGAATTTGAGCACACTGACTGGCGTTTGTCTACATTCGTAAAAACAATACTTTAGAAGTAGCTGTTTCTTTCTGCCGATTGATGATAGCTTAGTGGTAGAAACTCTGACTGAAACCAAATCGGACAGCTTGAAGCATTCGGATGTCTAGTTGCACTGAGGAGCTGTTATACAGTGAAACAGTACTGTCTGTGAATAACATATATATAATTAAAAGTTTTCTCTAGTTTCGATGGATGGATTTAATATCCAACAACACCAAACACCTCTGATATAGATAAAACATACAAATAATCAAACAGGTGGGTAGACATTCGCTTGAGCCTGGACATTGAAGGTGATAAGGTATCTAATGTAATTTGATTTATGCTTACTACTTATCCTCAAAGATCTCCAGGCATTTTTCCTCATTTACAGT